ATATATATATAGGAATTTATATGCATATGTCACAAATTAAAGCCCATTTTGTCCTTGAAAAAAACTGTATATAATATGTGGAGCTGGAATGAATAAGGAAGGTGGAAATTCTAAAAAAAAGTTTTGCAAAAAATGGCAAAATCGCTCCGGTCCTCAGAAGCAAATTTTTTTTTCTGAAGCTGTGTCACTAAGGGGTGTGGGGGTATAGCTCAAATGGGGATCACCTTCCCTGGGAAAAAAAGGTAGTCCAGGCAACAAAGTCCTTTTTTAGGTTGATTTGCAGTCAGTTTTTATTTAATAGGTTGCAATAAAACGGAAAACAAATCCTTGCCTTTCAGGCTCTGACTAAACAGGCAGGTTTCCTCTCTCGGGGCCTGTTCACACCATATGCAGTGCGTTCCGACCAGGTTCTGGCCGGAACGCACTGCATCACATTGAAGTCGGCTCACTATTTCGTGGGGCCAGAGGGGGCGTGGCGGGCCATTGAAGTGAATGGCACCGTAGCCACGCCCCACCGGGCCGCAATGCGAATGCCTGCACGGGATCGAAAGGCACATTGTCCGGTGCGATCAAAATCGTGCTTGTAGCATTTTGATCGCACCTGACCGCAGGCACAATGTCAGGCGCATTGCGGCCAGAGGGCGTGGCTACGGTGATATTCACTTCGATGACCCCCTCGAAATAGTGAGCCGGCCGCAATGCGATGCAGTCCGTTCCGGCCAGAACCTGGTACGCTTTCTCAGTTCATGTAACCAAGCTCTAACGATCCATGTTGTACCTCCGTCTTTTGAATGGTAATGTTATTTCTGTACTGTTTTAGGAACCTATACTGTGCAATTTTATGATGGGGTCATACGGTGCTTAAAAAAGATGCACATTAAATCCATGCCTGAGGATGCAAGAGGCCAGGTAAGTGTATATATCCTCGGCTCTGATAAATTGTTCATACCAGCGCGTTTTTCTTTCTCGTCCGGTAAGGGATACAGGTAGTCTTTCACTTGAAGGTTATACTGTCGCCTACAGGACGATTGCTGGCAAAAAATAGGTTAGTCTTTAAGAAGAAAACAGAAAAGACGCCCGTCCTCCAAGGACACTAGCAAAAAAAGTGAATCAGCTGGTAGTAGGAGGGTTTATTCCGGGCTGACTCCATTGTCAGTGTCCAATCCTCCTGTAGGCAGCTGTATAACCGGAAGGTGAAAGACTTGCGGTGTCCCTCAATGGACTTAAAGAAAAGGATTTTGCAATGAGTACAAAAACCGTATTATTTCTAATATGATCTTGGTTTAATCTTGGACTGAAGGAGACTGGCAGCACAAACTAGTGACACAACAGTGATATACGCCACTGCTACATGTTCCATAAAGCAGAGTGGTTTTCTAGCTGATGGTGGGAAGTTCCACTTCAGAACATCCCCCAAAATAACTGTGAAGTTATAAATGTATTACTGATATACTGCTGATGCAGCGCTGACCCTAACTACTGATCCTAATACAGGAGATAGTACTATAATTGGAGGTGCACCGAAATGAAAATTTCAAAACAGAAACGAAAGCAAAATGAAAAAAAATGTCAGGCTGAAACCGAAATGTTTTTTATTTTACATTTCTCAAATGTATTTTAACATTTTATTTTTTTGATATTCTATTTTTATTCATTTTTATTAAATATTTTTATTTTTTACTTTACTTTTAGGGGCTTTGGGGAAAGATTGGGGGTCTAAACAGACCCCTGATTTTTTCTATTTTAAAAGGGAAATGAGATTGAGGACATCAATCTCTTTTTCTGCACCCTGTTTTAAATGAACAGGAATCCTCTATACCAGGGGTGGCAAACACAAGGCCCGTGGGCTGAATCTGGCCCGCCGGACCTTGTAATGTGGCCCGCACAGCAGCCAGGGCCGGTCCACTATGCCGACTCTGTGCAGAGCAGTGTCTACTGTGTGGTAGCGAGCAGAGCCGGCACTACCACACAGTAGACACTAGAGGGCGCTGGTGGGGGAGGCCAGAGAAACACCTCCTCCCCCAGCCCTCTCTACTCTGTACTCTTTCCGGAGCTTGCTGGTGCTGTTCCTGCAGCCTGCACTGTCCCGGTACCGGCCGAGATATTAACATATGAATGGTCTGCGGTAATTTGCATATCATCAACAGAAATCCCTAAATTGGCGTTTTACAAATGGCAGCTGTCACCTAAGTTAATGATCAGGTGACAGAAGTTGCATGTAAACGCCTGCACACCGCATGTAAAGATACGTGATATGTTTACATTCCGCTAGGAATCAATCACTCTCCCTGGACGCATGTAATCATATCACGTATCATTACATGCGGTGTGCATGCGTTTACATGGAGCTGCTGTCACCTGATCATTAACTTGACTAGGTGACAGCTGTCACTTGAAAATGCCAGATTAGGGATTTGTGCTGCAGTCTGAGCAGTCTCCAATAAAGTTTCTTGTGGATGTTTTCAAGGCTAGTTATTACTTAAATTATTATTAAAACCAGTAGCAACTGAATGCAGAGGCAACTATGATAAAGAGTAGATGCATAGTCCTATACAACCGACCCTTTTGAGGGTAACCATACTGCTGATGCGGCCCCCGATGAATTTGAGTTTGCCACCCCTGCTCTATACTGAGTTTTCCTGTTCGTTCATAACATGAGGACAGAGTATGTTTACTATAACCACAATCACGAATGAACAGGAGGTGATGTAGATCCCTTCCCATTCATTCATAATTGAGGATATAGTAACCATACCAGGTCCTCAATTATGTACAAACACTCAGCGATCAGTGACTGCTTGTACCCGCTCTCCATCCTCACACACTGTCACAAGAGGCTGATCGAGCGGAGGAGAGCTCAGCCTTCTGTGACAGCGCTGGCTGTCTCCGCCCACACTGCTGAGCGGTGCGGGGAGGAGAGACGGCGGCCACTCACAGCGCTCCCCGCTGGGACACAGAGCAGCATCCAGCGGGGTCCAATACAAATTAGTAAACTAAACATGAGATTGTAGTCCCATCACAGGAGTGAGCTTGGAGCGCTGACTACTCTACAACACACACGGGGACCATGGGGAACATAAGTAGCCCCCCTCCAGAAGGAAGGACAGTGTCAGCACCAATTCAGAGATGATTTGAGGATCTTATGTCGTCTCCTGTTGTGTTCAAGAGCTACAAGCTGCCTAAAGAATCTCAGCTTTGAACACTTTTGGGAGTGTCAGGTGATGGGATTGTCTTTAACTACTCTTCTGTTTTGTAGAATATAATGAATAAAATAAATACTTATTCCTTTTCTTGCTGGGTCTCGTAGCTCCTTAGGGGTAGCTGCATTCCCAAATACTGTCATGAACTATACTTTGAGTGACTCTACTTTGTTTTGTTTTTCAAGACTTCTGACACACCTGCTTTCTCCATCCAGGACTGGATTGCCTTAGTTAAAGCAGCAGCTGCAGTGGCCAAGAATAAACCTGCAACCAAACCGAGGACCAGTGTGAACAGCAATAAGGATAAAGAAGAGAGGAAAATACATAAAACGTCCATTAAAAAAGAGGACGCTGCCATTGTTAAACCCCTGGACTTATTCCGCAAGGAGGAAGAGCCAACATCCAGCCAGAACCTAGGTATAACGTCGTTCCCCCTAAGTTTTCTTACAGAAAATCTCTCCTGCGGTATAATTTGTCTAAGACTGCCAGCTTTTATGACTAGCACCATTTGTGAACAGCTAGGTATTGTCACTCTCGTCTAGAGACGCCCGCTCAGATCTAGAGAGCTCCGGGCTGGCTGTTTTTTTACTACGGCCGGCCCGGAGGCAGTTAAGCACAGGGCTGCACCTTTAATATAAAAAAAGGCTTTTTATTGCTTCTTGGCTTAGTCTGGATAAAGTTTTTCAGTGATGGCTGTTTACATACAAGTGGTCCAGCAGCTGTAGAGCCGATGGATTGCTTATATAACGCGTGCGGGTGTGTGCGCCCACCCCCTCCGCCAATCCTGCCTACTTCAGGACCACCCACTGTCAAAAAAACATCCTGTCCTGGAGTAGTTATATCAAGAACACGTCTGCTGTGCTCCCCTGTCCCCCCCTGTCACCTGAGCCCAGCAGGTCTCCACTTACAGATTGGAGGGAGGTCAGCAGGCTTCTAGCCACTGATCTCTCTTCTTATCACTGGACCCTGAAGTGATGTGTATTACACCACTTCTGGTTTCAATGTGTACATTCTCCAATGATTAGAGCCAGGAGAAGAAGCTAAGGAAGCAGATCTTCTATATCTGCTTTATAAGCTTCTTTGGGATCCCTTGGTGACATTAAAGATTTGGACAGATTGGGTACGGTTTAGATCCTCTGGTACATTTTATTGCTTTCTGTGTCCCTATTGGTGAGATCTTCTTTCCTGTCTAGGTGACATGAGTTTAGAGGGACTGGAAGTGGTGAGAAATCTCACCATGGCAGGTTTTCTTAATGTTTGTGTCTTCCTGTCGCAGAGGGTCCTGTTCACCTATTTCATTGTCCTTGTGTCACAGGGACTGAAAGTGAGAAGGAATCTTCCCAGTGGGGTCACAGACAGCAAGGGAATGATATCAAACCTGTCTACGCTTTCCATGGAGTTGATTTTTAATAAGACTTATCATGTTTTGTGTTTTTACCTATCGCTCTCTAACAGGTGGTTCCTATTATCTCTATAAACCAGAAGTTGCATCGGGAGAGGTCTCGAAGTTGCCCACTCAACAGAGAGATGTTGATCTGGTACTTAAGAGGAAAATGAGCCAGGCTAGCTCCTTCCAAGCAAAACGAGCCCGGCTAAATAAAATAACAGGTAACTCCGTCGGTCTCTCTGCTGCCTCTCTCTTCCACTGTTCTGCTCCTGCTGTCGGCCTTTCTGGCCCTGTCTCTCTCTGTTGGCCTTTCTGGCCCTGTCTCTCTCTGTTGGCCTTTCTGGCCCTGTCTCTCTCTGTCGGCCTTTCTGGCCCTGTCTCTCTCTGTCGGCCTTTCTGGCCCTGTCTCTCTCTCTCTCTCTCTCTCTGTCGGCCTTTCTGGCCCTGTCTCTCTCTGTCGGCCTTTCTGGCCCTGTCTCTCTCTGTCGGCCTTTCTGGCCCTGTCTCTCTCTCTCTCTCTCTCTCTCTCTCTCTCTCTCTCCCCTCTCTCTGTCGGCCTTTCTGGCCCTGTCTCTCTCTCTCTGTCGGCCTTTCTGGCCCTGTCTCTCTCTGCCTTTCTGGCCCTGTCTCTCTCTCTCATCCTTTTTCGCTCTGCCTCTTTCTGTTGGCGTTCCTTACTGTCAGTTTTTTTTTTTCCCCTCTCTTTTATTCTTATATGCCCTTTAAAAATTTAACATTTAATTTAGGTGAGCAGAAACTCATAAAAGCATTTTTATAAACCAGTCAATGTGGCATTCACCAATTTATGACATTCACTGCAGGTGAATCAATCACTGTAATTTAGGACATGTTCCAAGATGATACACCTGTAGTGAATGTTTGATGAATGTCACTTTAGCTTCTTTATAAATACTGTATACCCCATTGAGTTACAGTTAAATTCCCTGATGCATAATGAGGCATCATTGATGCTCGTGCCGAGAATGGGTGGGGAACATTGATCTTCTCCCAGTCCTATTAACTATTGACTCTAAAAAATAGCTGATAAAGTAGAAAATCAACATTTAGTTTTATGGATGGACCGATACCGAGTATTTGGGCGAGTACTTCTACTCGCCCAAATGCTCCGATACTTATCTTCGATACCAGAACTTCCGGTCAGAGGAAGATCTCTCTCTGACCGCAAGTGCCGAGGGAACATGGAGACGGCTTCCTTTCCAATCAAGAAGCCGGGCAGTGGGTTATGACCTGCCTCCCGGCTTTCTGTTTGCCTAGGAAGCCGGCTTCACTGGTTGGTAAGCAGCCTGGCTTCCTAACCAATCAGGAAGCCAGGCGGCACGTCATTAATCACATCCTAGCTTCCTGATTGGGTAGGAAGCGAGGTAGCCTCAGCTAGAGGCTAGAACACCGGCTTCACAGTCAATCAGGAGGCCATGCGATGGGTCATGATCCGTTGCATGACTTCCTAATAATCTGGGCACATGGCACTGGTATCGGTGCATCCCAATTTGGTTGCATGTGACTTCCTTTTGCTTGCTGCATTAAATAGATTTCTAACCTCTCTTCCTTCATTGTTAAGGTTTACTGGCGTCCAAAGCTGTCGTATTGGATGATGCAGAAAAGAAGACACAAGTCATTCAAAAGCCATTAAAGCTGGAGGAGGTATGAAATTGGGAAAGTGTCATTCTTTAACAAGATCCCAGCAGGGACCTACATCAGGGCTGTAACTTACTCGAGCTAAAACTAGTGCCTGTTCTGCTGCAAAGCTTTTCAACTGCACAAGGGGGAAGGCAGTGTTATCTAGCTGTCTTTATGTTGTTCAGACTCTTGCCAATCCCGTACTGCTTTTGTTTAAAGGGGTTTCCCACCTTTTAGAATTTGGTTTCCTGCACTGTTAATGAAAGGGTGAGTCCACCCAGAAGTAGTCATTCAGTTTTGCATAGAAGGCCATTGGGTTCTGGTTTCTCTCAGGGTCTCTGGCCGGGAGGTCTCTGCACCTAAATTCTGAGCTCCACCCACCTGCTACAGCCACTCTTATGTTCATTTAGTGCTCACGGAAAATGAGACCACGTTTTAGGTAAACGACCTGTGTTCAAATATTGGAGTAATTATATTATTACACATCAGAAAAACTCTACAAATCAAGTTTACTGTATATACCTATATAGTTTTTATATAGGGAAAATAAACTCTAGATACACTGAGCCATATTTATCAAGTGTTGCTCATATAATTATATATATATACATACATGCATGCACCCCCCTGTGTGGCTGGGAGGTGTCATTAGAAAGCCAATTCACCTGTGAGTGAAATTGCCCACTTTTTGCTGCCTGCAAGGTCCCATTCACACCGGATCCCTTACGTTGCAATATGTTTTTCAATGCATGGTAACGGAATGGCCCCGAAAAATGAATGTTACATTGTGCTGAAATAAAAAAATAGAACGTGCACTACTTTTTTCAGGGCAACACAACGGATCCGTTGTGAACTAACCCCATTCACACCCATTTATTTTCCTGTGTCCTTCCTTAGCATCTGTTGAAAACGGATTGCAACGCAAGGGATCGGAAGGAAATTACACAATTACAATGGCAAGTCAATGGACCCTCCTTTGACTTGCGATTTCCTTCTCATTTTGGTGTGAATGCACCCTTAGAGCTTCAAGTGATGATATTCCATAACTTTGGTTTTTGGCTCCACCCTGCCCCTTAAAGTAAAACCGAGGCCATAACTTTATTTTTTTTAGTTTTGGATAGAGCAAAATGTGGGATTTTCTTTCACTTTTAGTGATAACTGTCACCAGGACCGATGGAGAAGGTGAATCTCCCTAACGGGGACACAGACAGCAATACAAATCTGACAGGTGTTCTAATCCCTCTCCTCTATCCCAAACAAAAAAGTTTTGACTTCAGTTGTACTTTAAGACAGGCCGTCTCCTTTGGCTGTACTTCCAACTTATTTGCTGACTTTTTATCCAGTCAGTTTGCTTTCTAACAGCCTAGGCGGTGGGCAAAACTAGATGTAGGGGCCAGGATATCTCACCACGGGGGTTCCTGAGAAATGAGAGGCCAAAATGTGACGCAACTTGCTATCAACCATGGTAAGCTAAGAGATTTGTCTTTAGAGCTTAATAAGCCTCTTCGTGTCCCATTCAGACTTTTGACAGTGCTATATTGAGTGATACCGCAGATGCAGGTAGCAGAATGTAGATTCTTATTACTCTTCAGTGCTGGGGACTCTTCAAGTGGCAAATAAGTACTCATTAGCCACAATAGTGGAGACCAGCATGTTTATTTTTTGTAATGGTGAATAAAGGGCAATTATAATTATTTAAACTTTACCAACCCCATTAAACAGTTCTTTTCTTACATGGTTTCAGATATAATACTCATTGGAATATTATGTGAAGTAGTACTTAATTTACTCAGCTTTTGTCCCCAAAGCTGATACATTTTAGGCTTTTTATGGTTTTTTTTTGTGTGCTTTGGGATTCAAGGTCAGATTGTAAGCTCTCAGGAGCAGGCGTGTGCGCCTATATTGTTCAAGTTTAAATCACGTATTCAAAAGTCTCTGTCAGGATAGAAGTATGGGACCTGCCATTGCCGACTAGTTTTCAGAGGCTCAAGCTCTCGTCGTTCTCCTTGCTTCCATGTTTATGGAGTCACCAATGCAGCACTTGTATACAACTAGTGATGTTGGAGCTTCCAAACCTGCACAATTGTTTTCAGTACAGTGGCTGACTGAATGGTGAAGCAAAGATATGTCAACAGTTGCTTGACTGTTGGCCGATTTACTGCATGAGGTAGTAATGGCAAGACAATTATGTAATTTATTAACCAAGTGGATTATTAAAGACCAAGAGAGTGATATTTTTATCCAAGGAATCTGAGTGTCACCTACCTGGTGGAGGGCCAGCATGCAGGGCGTCCCTTGCACCTCGTTTTCGGTAATCCTTGGAGTTGAGAAGAAGCTCAAGTTGTTGTAGAAGCACAAGTGTCTGTAGCTGGTTAATATGCAGCAGGGTCAGAGGCAAGCTGAGGGTTAGACACAGCCGGGCAACACAGGTACACAGGGAGTAAGCCAGGAACGAAGTCATGATGCAAGCCAAGGTCAAGCACAGCCAGGCAGAGAAGGTACAAAACCGCAACCAGGAAGCATAGTCATGATACGAACCCAGAGTCAGAAGCCAGGGGATCAAGATATCGTAGAGTCAAAACAAGCTGGGTCAAATCACAGGAGAAAGGCACAGGTCAGGTTACAGCATGCCAGAGCTGATGACCACTCAGCGACTTCCCCTAATGAAACTCTGGTTTAAATAGGCAGGCCTTGCTTAATTATGCTCTTATACCTGCGCATTAATCACATAATCCCGGGCGCACATGTGCAGGACTATCAATGTAAGAAATGTCTATGCACGTTTGTCCAGGCATAGGTGCGTGCTTGAATGTGCGCACGTGGCGGTCACTGAGCAAGCCCAGACTTTCCTGACACTCTTTCATTCTTCCTTAATGGCACAGAGGATTGTGTTTCTCTTTCCTCTAAACTGCAGTAGGAGTAGTGCACATGACGGAAACCTGCCTTTTCTCAACTTGGATTTGAGAAATAACCATGTAAGACTCAGACTTACTCAATTGCGTATAATTTAAAACAAAATCATGGGTTTAAAGAGGACCTGAACTGTGCAGGCTGTGCTCATACATGCAGTCAGAGGACTGGCCACCAGTATTGCCTGTGGTCTTCCTGCAGCTGATTTTTTTTTTCTCAGTTACTGACTCATGACTTGTTCTGTGCTGTGTCTCTGTGTGAAGGCAGCCAATCTGGAGGCAGGGCTTTGCTTCTTCATGTCATAGCCTCCAGATGACTGGTGGGGAAATATTTAAGAAGTAGCAGGTGAGTTGGTGGGAGCACAGTTCCAAAGAATGAAGCAGAAGCAGGGTGATCTATGCACTGCAAGTCCTCAGGTACCACTCTGAATTTAGAGGGCGAGCCTGTTGCCTCCACCAGTGCTGTTTCCAGTCTTTGGTCATTTAAAACTCCAAAAGACGCAAAGACGCTTTTCTAACTATTTCTCTATGGAGATTGGAAGCATCCTGCTACATGTTTGGGTCAGCAAACAACTTGTTTGCCTTGTATCCATTTTGTCAGAATTTTGTGCAGAAGTGTTCCAATACCACTATGGATCCAGTCATGTTTATGGATCCAGCCATGTTTAGTGTTAACATGGCGCTTACTATTCCGGTAGAAGGGACGTCTGTCTTTAAATACCCAACTAATAAGCAGTTTGAAACCCTTTCTAGAGCTCTGTTCTCACAAGAGGGTGATCCCGCTACTTTGCCAAACATGTCTGACTGGTCAAAATCCCTTAAACATTAAACCACTGTTGTGGTTGATCCTATGTATATGGAACACATGAAACAGATGGCCGTAGCTGTAAATGGTTTGCTGGAAGCCCCTTGTCTCATTTCCCCCATATGTCTCATGGCTGTTATAGTCTAGATTCTGAGGGATAGAGGAGCATCATGTAGTCTGATTGCTATGATGCTCATAGCCTACTTTCCTCAAGGTACAGTATATCATCAGACATAGAAGGCATACTTCACTTGATGTAAGTCTGATGACTTCCACCCTAGGAGTTTCTCCTTGGAATGAGACTTCTTTCTGCAACTGATTTGGATCAGTGTTTAGCTCTCAGATCTATCAATGGTCAGGTTTCAGCTCTTTCTAAGCGGTTTTAGAAACTGTTGGCCTCTCGCTCCCTGATAAAGTCCTTTTGAACAGGAGATCTCCCCCCACCCTGTTTGCCCATTGACTCCTTGGGACTTAAATTTGGTACTGCTGTTTGAACACATTAGCAACATTGCTCTCTACTCTCATCCACAAGATGTTTTTTTTTCATGTAGCCTCACTTCTACAAGGCTGGTGTCTGAGTTTACAGCCTTTTCTTTCCAAAAAAAAAATTTGTATCAGGATGAGAAGGTGTTGATGTCCAGGACTACCTTCTTGCCCAAAGTAGTCTCTGCCTTTCACCTCAGTTAGGCATTGTTCCTTCCCTCTGTCAGGCTCCAGTTCACCAAAAGAACATTTCCCACTATTGTTTGGATGCGATTCGAGCCGTGCGAGTTCCTCTTTTAGGCACCGCTTCTTTCAGAATGACTGCTTCCCTTTTTGTCATCCCAGATTGACCCCAAAAGGGTGCACCAGCTTCTTGTTACTCCATCTCTAGGTGGCATCAGTCAGTCAATCATAGCTTATGATCTCAAGCATCAAGTTCCACTGTTTCATGTCAAACTGCACTGTGAGTGCTTCTTGGGCTTTTGGGTATCAAGCATCTGTTTCTCAGATTTGCAAGGTTGTCACCAGATCTTCTGTTCACATATTGTCATGTTCTACTAGATGAATGTTTCCGCCTCGTCTTATTCTGGGTGTAAGCTCCTTCAGGTGGTTCTTTCAGCTGCAGGCAGTCCCCAGTTTTCTGTTGTTATCTTGGGCCTGTTAGTGATGGTTTGCTGTTTGCACACCCCTCATTTGGACTACTTTTGGTTGTCTCAAAGGTTAAAGGCTTCCTCAGTCCTTCAATGAAATGATTTTTTGTTATAAAATCCTTTTTTTTTTTTTTTGAGTCCATGAAGGGACACAGGTCTCACCCTTTTAAGTTTATG